TTTTTAGCAACGAAATTAAAATGATCGATTAAATATTTACTTTATTTAATTAATAAGAAAAGCACAAAATTCTAAATGATTCACCTTGATATCACACTTCTCATTCTAATTTTTTTTAACTGAAAACTTTTCACAAGGACTATATCTAAAAAGTTATATTTAATTTTTGTGAAAATTCTAGTAAAACTTCAACTTGTATATTTAAGATACAAAATTTTTCGCTCTAATTAATGAAATTTAGATGTTTTATAAGATGAATATTTAAAATTTATATATTAATAGAAAATTCTAAAACATAGCTTTATTATCCTACATATAATGAACTTCTAGTAAAAATTTCTAGGTAATTCCTTGAGTTTCAGCAAGCTGAATCATTTTAAAGTTGATTAATTTTTAATAAATATATTAGCAGTAGTTAACATTAAATTGATATCGATATGTTATATGGAGATTTTCATTCATATAACATGAAAATCTGTAATATATCAAATTCTATAGTTTGCTCACATAGTTTTGATTTATTTAATTGAGTTACCACTCTAGTACGTACATACGTACGGATATTTTTTTGAATACTTATATTGGATATTACACCAACAATCAAATTAATCATATTTATATGGTACACAAATTGTTGATTCTGGAAATTTTGGATTACATCCTGATGTTGTCATACGTACGTATGCTTAATATTTATAGTTAACCGGTTATCGTTTTTGTGATCACTAACCAACAACATATTTGGTATATATAAGCCAAACAATCACATGCTTCATCGTTATCAAATATTATCTCTGCTTCAAATGCAAATGCTCTACGTGTTGGAAATACTTCACAATATGCTTCTAATAGTATATGCGTTCACCATAGTACGTTTGTACCAGTCTGGTATGTTCCTTCAAAAGTTCTTCTAGTAGATGATGACTTGATATACCAAAATTTGGTTCAACATTGCAGTAGATGGAATTGGTGCTGTTAATCAAATAAAGATTAGTAAATATGATCTTGTTTTCATGGTAAGTCATAAAGTTTTGCTCTTCATTACTGCATTGCAAACCCGATTTGATTGATTTTCTAATATTCCCACGTGCAATTTATAGAAAATTGTTTTACCAAAGTTGGATGGTAAGTTTCTTTTTTAGAATTTCATTTCTCTAATGTCATTAATCTTATAATTTACTATAATATAAATTTAGATGTTAAGGCAACAGTTCAAATTAGACATTTTGACAGCTCCATACTAATTATTAGCATTGCACCAAGATTGTAGTTTTTATCTTTCACATAGAATGAATGATATTCTTGCCAAGCCATTCAGCAAATTGATGTTTCTTAAGATGTTAGAAAATTATTGTTCACATCTTGTTATGCCGAAATTCCAGAGTATTCCAAGACTATTTGGTGTTTCTGATATATCAAAATCAGCTTCTAATAGTGACATATTTTTTTACTCTTTAGATACATCGGTTGGAGAAAAAAACAATAAGCATCATGATAGTTTGATTTCAAACCAATTGGCCTTAACCGTGTCTGACAGGTCATTTTATTTCAACTATATACAGGTTATAAACAATCTAGCTAATGCATCTTCAGGTACTAGTTCTTTTATATCTACTATTAATATACCAAACATACTAACATTGACTCAAAGTGGACAGATATCTACAATGAATGTAGGAACATTTGATAATAATGGTACAGTAATGGCAATAATAGAAGTACTGGCAATAATAGCAACAATTTCTAACTTGTTATTCTTGCAAATTTTTTTCTTAGTTTGCCAATATTACAGAGGATGATGATAATTCTTCACCACGATTTGATACTACTAACGATCACAAGGTTTTATTTCTTATAAAACAGATAACTTATGTTAATATGATATGACTAATTTTAAATAACTTAACATATAATTATATATATAATAATAGCGATTCAGTATGCTATTTCCACATCAATCTTACTAAGCAGCACGATCTCCTGGCATTTATCCTATGGGTAATTATCTAATGCTCATGCAACCTTAATATCAACAATTCATAGTAAGAAATTTTATTATTATGATTAATATATATATTTTTGGGTTTTAAAATTTAGTACATCTGCACCACAGTGCACCTCTAGTCATGTGATAAGAATTACATAACAATATTATAATAGCTTTTTTCAATTTTAATATATAATTTATTGTTAAAAAAAAACATTACAGATTCAAAACCGTTATGCATAATATATTGAATCGTCACGTATCAAATATACATATTCGAAATAACCACTAACTGATCTAACCAACTAACTCTAACACTACCAATTAATACCCTAACCCTACCAACTAACTCACCCAAACCCTACCAACTAACTTACTCTAACCCTACTAACTAACTCACCCTAACCATACTAACTAGCTCACCCTAGCCCTAGCCAAGAACATTTTTAAATAATAGTATCAAGAAAAAAGATACCAAGAAATATTTCAAAAGCAATAGTATCTCTAATAACAATGAAATGATTACCACAAAGGCAACACGAATAATGGCAACACCCATTTATAAATGTTGCATAAAACTGATACTAATGACAACTATAGAAGGAAAGTGGGAAGGTTAAATATACATCAAATAAAAAGTACCAACAACACTAAAATGATGAAATTCACCCAAAAGCAATAAATAATGTATCATCTACCATAGTTGCAGTGTTAAAA